TTGGGCGGAGGCCAGGGATACTTAGCGGCAGCGCCATAGCTCCAGCTTCGCCTTCGAGGTACCTGCAGCACAGCGCCATCTTCACAGGTTAGTACTTGGCATACGAGAGAGAGAGAGAGTTCTTCTTCCTCTTCTCAGTCCACCATCTCCCTGTCACCCTCTTGCTACCTGACTTCACTGCATCAGCAGACTACGAGAGATAGAGAGAGCTTGGTGACATTTGGATCCAGACTCGACATCTGGGCTTCAGACATTTTGACGAGGGATTATTTGGGATCTGTAACAAAGACTTGGTGTTGACGACATTCCCATCTCTCCCCCTCTTCTTCGTCTGTTCCCCTCCTCTTCGTCTGTGCATGATCTGGGCCTGGCGCCTTCTTCCTGTGTATAGCGCCAGGTCTCTTCACACCTTGTGATGAGGATGATGTATGTTTGGTCTGCGTTGCGACATTGATTGGGCTAGTCATTGGTATTCTAGCATTCTGCTGCGCTGTCTTACACTACGTGATAGAGGTCAGTCCCGGTCAAGTCAGGACCTGTATCTAAGTCTTCCATGACACTATAAAGCACCATTCTTGTATGTATCAGAATGTACACTGCTTGTTGAGATTTCACTTGCACTGCATTGTCCATTCATTGCTTTTTATCACATTGCGGATCCTCGGGTTTATGTACATCGCCCAACTGGGCATGTAACAGTGAGCCAGGTACTGAATTTTGGGGGACATTCAGGATCTCCCACAGGGCCTGTTGAGGGTAAATGTGTATGCCTAGCGTTTGAAGTATTTGTAAGACAGGGCTTGTCTGAACATGCTTCAGCTGGGGCTGAATATGATCTCTGCTCAGCACTGGTGCCTGCAAGTGCGTGCATGACAAGTACAGGACTCAAACACACAAGACCTAACCATGATGCTAAGTGGGCGGGGGTGAAAGTGAAGCCCCAAGATGAGCACTTCACCCCACCCCAGGACGGAGATCCCGCGACATGGTGTACCTAACCACACTCATCCTCTACACAGCCACTCTACCGTAGTGTAACCTCTACAGCGGTTACTGCGTGCAACCGTGGTCTGGTCAGGTCATCCCTTCTGAGGTGGGTAGGATCTTCGGCATACATCAGAGCTGTGAGGGCAGCAAATTTGTGATGGAGTTTGTTGTCCTGGGTTCACAGGCTATTAATGGATGGATGGGTCTTTTCGTAAGGACGATACCCTGTGTTCCATTATGAACAGAAAATTTGAGGGGAGCCAGGGGATCACCTTGACTTACTGACCGTGTGATTGAGTAGGTGCGAGTAAGGATCCGCCTGACCTGAACTATGCCTGTTGGGTTGTTGTACATGATCCTCACAAATTTCCTGAAGCCTGGACCGACACCCTTCCTTTCCGTGCAACTTACAAATTCAAATAGTGAATTGAAAAAGAAACAAAAGAAGTTTCTGGAACTTGGCAGATCATCAAGGTACTCTTATTATGGCGTCAGATCCTGAGTCTTTATGGTGTTTTCGTTTGTTTTTGAATTTGCAATGAAGTTGCGTTGATCGGTGCCCCTCTTATGATTCACAAATGGATTGCATTATTGTTATCTGCTTTTTATGTCTAGTCTCCAACCACCGATTTGGGAAAAGAGTTCAACCCTGTAGTACAAGACCAGTTGACTTGGTCGTAAGCTTTTTCAAAATAAAAAGATATGATTGCTTCTTTCATGCAGTGTTCTGAGACTCTCTCACCCTTTCTGTCTTCTTTCTCCCCTCCCTTCTTTTCCCATCCTCCTATTTCTTGTCCAGAACTTCAAATACATATGAAAGAGCATCACTGAGGGCAAAAAAACATGACTTTCCAGCCGGGGGGAAGGCAAACGGGTGTGTAGACATCAATTTCTCCACCACACAAACATGACTGTCCTTGAACCAATCAAAATTGAAGCACTGAGATGGCCACAATCATATCACATGGTAATACTGTTTCAATGATGATATCCCTTCTCCCTGGTGGAGAAATGGTTTCAGTGATGATTGTGCTAAACATGCGCACGCACGTATGTGTTGTCATATTCGCTATACACCAGTGTTGCACACGCTGATGGTCGGCGGCCCTTGACTAGTCGGCTGACGACCCGCCGACCGGTCGGCTGGTCGGCACCTACCGGTCGGGGGTCGTCGGCACCCCGCAAAAAAAAATAAAAAAAAATTGTTTTTTTTTTGTTTTTTGGCGGGGGGGTCCAGAACCCCTAATAACACCACCAACACCCCCATAGCGGCCCCCAATACGCCCATACACCCCCAAACCGCCCCCAATACCCTCGTTACCTCCCCCAATACCCCCTATACCTTCCCTATACCCCCCTATACCTCCTATATACCTCCCGTATACTCCCACCCCAACCCCCTATCCCCCCCCCATCCCCAAAAGTTTCTCAGCGGATTTGGGCTGCACTCAGCAAGCGCAATACAGCCCCCAACTCAGATTTGAAAAAAAAATCAGTGGATGGTTGTTTTCTGACTGGTCGGCGGACCGCCGATCGGTCGGGGCAAAACGGTCGGCGGTCGGGGTCGGCGGTCGGCGTCACTGCAACCCTGCTATACACTCAAAAAAAGCATGACTGTACCAGACTGTTTTGTTGGACTTTCACCGACTCATCAGGAGGTTGAACCCCAACAGTCTGCCCAGCATGCATTTGACTGATGGATAAGGACTGACCACATCGCCCAGAGTTAGCGATATCCCTGAGAAAAGTGGTCGACTTTACTCACACCAAAGCAATCCTAGCAGACTGCCGGTCCAAACCCCTGACAAGAACGGTAGTAAGTCTGAGATATTAATCTGACACAGTCATGTGTGCATGTGTGTCTGTGTGTATGTGGAGAGAGAGAGAGAGAGAGATTAGTAACTTCTCTTTCTACTGGTTTCTGAACAGGAAATGTGCAGCGGCCCTTTGTTGGCGTCTTTGGGAAAAATGCACAAGACATACGTGTCCGGTTTGATTTTTCACCATCAGACATTGCGCACAAGACCGATGAGATCATCACAATCTCAGAGAGGACGCATGATGCAGTTGCAGCAGTCCCACTTTCAGAGGTGAGTGACAGAATGAATATGTGTGGACGTTCCAAGGGCCCCTTTCATGTCACTCCTGTGGGTCTTTTCCTTCCCTTTCCCTTCCATTTTTCCAGTTGTAAATTGTAATGCAATTTTGCTGTTAGTTGAATGGTTCTCAAGTATTCGTTTATCCCTGTTCTCTCGGGCCTTGCCAGCCCACAGGGTGGCACTGAACACTCAGGTATTCGTTCATTTGTGTTCTCTTAGGCCTTGCTGGCCCACAGGGTGGCACATAATGCTCAGGTTAGAGGGTACGGTGACAGAGATCGTGATGGGGATGTCTTTGGGGGTCTGAGTCTGTGTCACAGGCCCCCCAGATGTCAGGGATGGGGGAAACTCATGGTAACTTGATTCACCGCTAGCTGTGATGCAGGGCATGATGACCGTCCTTTTGTCGTTCTTTTGTTCTCTTCTTGTTTAATATTAAGGTATAGAGTTTTATTTTGAAAATTCATATTCGATTCTATTCTATCCTTCTCTTACCCACCTTTACACCACTACCTGTGATGTAGGGCAACTTCAGTGGGTGTGGTAGAACAGGAAGCAAATGCATAAGGCAAACTGGAGTCAATTCCAGCGAAATACGGACTTCTGGTCTTCTCTCTGACACAGTGCAAATTGCTAAATGGTAATGACTACTTATCTGTTGTCAGGTCTCATATGAGCGCGTTATTTCGCCGTTGGCAATGCTGGAGGCGGAGCAATTTGCTCTTGCTCAGAGTTGTGAGTTTCCCAGCATGGTCTCCACCAGCAAGGCCATTCGTGATGCTAGCACGGAGGCGGAGAAGAAACTGGATGCGCACAATGTGAAGTGCAGGTGATGGCCACTGCTGCCCCTATAGCTTCCCCCTATGTTTTCATATACAGCCAATTGCATGTACGACATTCTACGTCTTATCTTTCAGGGCTGAGCAATTGGCTAGCCTAGCCTCAAGCGGTACAGCACCGATTGGGCAGGCTGCAGAATTGTATATCTAGCCTCATGACCAACTGAGCAAAGCAAAAGCTTGAGCTGTTTTCTGTGACATGGGTGCTTGGGGTGTTTCTGGTGTGCTGACCACTCTATTGTCCGGTATCATGCCGGAATCTGAGTGCTTGTCAAGTGGTCAAGTGGCTTGGACACCTCTATTTCTTGTTTCCTTGAATGGAGTTCAATTGCTTTGCAATGTCATGGCATTGGGTACTGTTCGGTAAATCCCTGGTACTGTATTGCGCCTCTCCCATTTTCTGCTGCAACTAGAGCTGAACAGAGAAGTCTAACGAGGGCTAAAACAAGGGACATTAGTTGCCGTACAATCAGTCAAATGTTTGAAGCTGTTGGATCGTTCCTGAGGGTTAGCTCTCACATAGCTGACCTGCGCATTACAACAACAGGTCATTTGCGCCATCTGTCGTACTTGTCAAAGCATGGGCTTCAGAATTCTTGCCCAGTCATGAGCATTTCTCGCCCAGTGCATCACCACCGTCCCTCAACCGGTAGTGCCGCCTTGTTCTGCGTGATGATGTACATGACAGTGATGACATCCAATTGCCGTTATAATGTACACAGTGCATTCACCTTCGCAGCTTTGAGCAATCCTGATGACTATGTGCACTGCACTCACCCTCGACACCCGCCCTCTATCATGTGCACTCTCTGTGAAGCAGGGACTGATTCATGCTGCATATTCACTTGTCATAATCATGCATCTCTTTTTATCATTTATGGGAGGAGTCAAACATGCAATTAGGAAGAGTGTTTGTTATTCTGAAGCCATACTCACAATATGACTCTCCTAGATGCTGCGGACAGCAGCTGCGGCCAGATTCAGTCTGATAAGTCTGAGTTCTGAGTTGAGTATGCAGTGAGAACCGTGTCTGTTATTTTCACCAACCATACCGATTCCATGTCCGCTCATTATGTGGTCTTGGTCAGATACTATGACCTTTTGCCCTTTTGTCCACTGCGATAATGTGTGTCCTTGTGTGGGCAGCTCGTGCTCAACCTGCAAGAATGCAATGAGCTCTGCTTAAAAAAAAAGACTTTTGCCCACTGCCATAAGGTGTGTTCTTGTGTGGGCAGCTCGTGCTCAACTGCAAGAATGCAATGAGCTCCGCATGTCCGTTCCTTATGTGGCCTTGGTCAGGTACTATGCACTTTGTGCCCTTTTGTCCACTGCCATAATGTGTGTCCTTGTGTGGGCAGCTCGTGCTCAACTGCAAGAATGCAATGAGCTCTGCTTAAAAAAAAACTTAAAAAAATACTTTTGCCCACTGCCATAATGTGTGTTCTTGTGTGGGCAGCTCGTGCTCAACTGCAAGAATGCAATGAGCTCTGCTTAAAAGAAAGAAAAAGAGAATGCAAGTTATGTAATGAGCCCAGTCTCGTCAATCAATCATGTCGTCAGATAGCAATGTCGTGCTATGTCGAGATAATAATTCCAGCTAGTCCACCAATTCGAAGTCGTTGGAGTACATCATCCTTCATTACCACGTGTAAAGTCTCCGAGTCAAGAGTATCCAGACTAGAACAGAGAGGGGGAAGAAAAGACAGATGGAAGGAGAAGAATATCGTAGCGATCAAATGCCTCTTCTTCTCCAGGCTTCCCCACCTCTACCACGTGCACAGTGTGGCACGTGGATGATGTAAATGCAGCCCCTTGCAGACGAGTGATCCTTCAGCAGCGAGCAGAATCAGCAGCCGCATCACATCAGGTGAGACCAGGTACGTGCACACGACATCAGATCTCGCCCACTCTCTCTCCCTCTCTCTCTCTCTCCTCGCTACCTCGCCATCTTCTATGGTTGCAGCAATGGCTGCCTTCCCTCTCTCTCCTCTCCTACTACTGCATCTGACTGGTGCCCGCGAAACAGCCTGGCGCCAGCGTCCTCCTCTCAAGTCCCCTCACGTGCAGCATCAAAGCTGCAAGCAACTCGCAAGACTGAATGTCCAAGTAGTGGCGAGGTCAACTCTATATAGTGTTGACTCTCGATGTCCGGGGTCAGTTTCTGTCCATGTGAGGCACCGGATCGTCTGAATGTCGACGGCTCAGATGCAATTTGTCCCAGTTTCGGTCTGGACTCCTTGAGGCCTGAATCTTCCGGAACCTGCAGACCACTGTTAGATCATTCCCGATCGACGGGCAGTATGTGTTGACTTTGACTTCTCGGATCTGGGCCTGGGTCCACGAGTTGACTGTTGACATTTCGGTCAACTGTCGGTGTGGGCCTCTTCCTAGGGCCTAGTTGACCTTTTTTTTCAGGGCCTGCCCGTTCGTGCTTGTCTGAGGGCGCAATTAGATCCCAACGGCTCAATTTTGGACTGAAGTGCTGAAACACAGACCTGAGTTCGAGCTCCTTGAGGCCTGAATCTTCTGAACCTGCAGACCACTGTTAGATCATTCCGGATCGACGGCCAGTATGTGTTGACTTTGGCTTCTCGGATCTGGGCCTGGATCCACGAGTTGACTGTTGACATTTTGGTCAACTGTCGGTGTGGGCCTCTTCCTAGGGCCTGTTTGACCTTTTTTTTCAGGGCCTGCCCGTTTGTGCTTATCTGAGGGCGCAATCAGAGCCCAACGGCTCAATTTTGGCACACGAGTTACAGCAGTTAGTTCTTTCTGCTTGTTATGTTCCTGTCCATTCCATGATGCAAGACAACTTTGAAGTGGAATGAGATCAGGAGAGAAGGGAAGAAAAGAATAATAATAAAGAGACGACAACCAACTGGCCTTGCTCAGTTGGTGCAGCCCAGACCTGAGTTCAAAATCCACTGGAAATACTACAATTCTCTAAGGCCGGTCTGTTCGATGATCATATCTCAAGGCCGTCACCCTTTCTAGAAAAGAAGAAGAAAAAGACACACACTAAAAGAAAGAAGAAGAATGCGAGGCTCAAGGCCCCGATGCACCCTATTCAGCCCTGTTTTCAGCAATATCGGCCACCCTAAGTGAAGGCAGGCTTGACCAGGTGTTATGATTCTGGTTGTCTGTTGTCTGAAGACCAACACTCGCTCACATAGACTTCCAGGTATGCCCATACATACACAGAAGGGAGAGGATAGGAGTATCACACCGCACAGGGAGAGAGAGACACAGCGGAAGACTTGACCATGCGATATGACAGGGTGCACTGAAAGTGCAATTCACTCCACTCAATCCTCACAACCAGTCATAAAGGAAAGCCGAGTAGATCACATCTAGGAAACAATGAATCGATGATAGTCTGGACACAGTATCAATACTGTTTATTAAACTCGGAGTCACGAATTGTCAGAATAACCCCAGTACATGGTGCGCTGCTCAGAAATGAGCAGCGCTTCACTCCCCAAGCCTGATGAACCACTATCACCACCCCTGAGTCCCTGAAACATCAAGCGCCACCCATGTACAGCTTCCAGAGGGAAGCGCCACCCTGAAACAGGCCTCTGAGACCAAGAGGGAAGCGCCACCCTGAAACAGGCCTCTGAGACCAAGTGCCACTCAGAGGATGAAGAAGAAGACCAGCGCCACAGTATCTGATGATGACGGTGTAAAGTGTCGGAAGACTCTCCGGGTGGAAGTCTGGAGCAGCGCCACCACTCTTGACAAGATGCAAGATGATCTCTGAGGAAAAAGCTGCAGCTATGGCTGCAGCGCCACTACCCTGTAACCTTACACCGGAGGAGGGTCCAGCAGGGCACCAACTTCTCTCGCCGCCAGCAGACCTCGAATAGCCCAGACCTCTATACAACGCCACGTGCTGACAAAGTACAGCGCAGGTCCCAGCTATGGCCGGCGCTCCGAAGGTCTGGCTATGTCTGTCTCCCTCAACGCTGAGCCGTCACCACTTCCGGTTCACGCGTAGCACAACAGCGATGTACTCGGTATCAACCTCCAAAAGCTCTGAACCGATGTGCCCATCCTATCGATAGTCTACTCCAGCCTAGACTCGACCTAGACCTGACTGACTGACCGACCGACTGGTACCATTTTTGTTTCGGCCTCTAGGGCCTCTCCCTACCCGGCTATAGGCTATAGGACCGTCTATCAGGTTAGGCCCTTAGGCCTGTCTGTCCTAGGGGTAGCGCGGGCCTGCTATTCGCAACCAGGGTAGCTGTAGGAATTCTAGTTAGTGTGGGCCTATATTTTTCCCAAAATCTGTCCCTAATGAATTTCCTTACAGGCAGGTCTCTCAGTTAGCCCTCAGCCAAACAAAATTACGAATCTAACCTACAGATAGTACAGCCAAGAGAGAGGCTACAGATGACCAGAAACCAGCAAGTCATTGCCGACCTACCGTCCCCCGGAGCGAGGACCTCCGAGATAGGGGTGTAGGCGTGCAGAACGTCGAAGGGGTTCCCCCTTCCAGGCGACCTTATATCTGAGGATAATAGACTTAGCTGTTTTCAGAAGTTCCTTGCGAGTAAAGCAACGATCTTCAATGTGCGGCTGGTAACAAAACTTCACAAGGTATTCTTTATCTGGTCCTGTATCTGACTCATCCTCAATGGACTCCACGTCATATTCCTTGCCAAGGATTGGAGGACTAAACTTAGGAGGCCTGTCTGGAAATGCATCAACTGACGTAAATGGTAACAACTTGGATGCATGAAAGACATGATAGGATTGTCGAAAAGGATCAGCTCCCACTGTATCTAAGACCTGCGATGGACCTATGTACCATGGCAACAACTTTGGTGAAATGTCCTCCTCTCGTGACAACTCAGAACTGAGCACCCACACCCAATCACTTGTGCGAATAGTAGAAGGACGTCTGTGACAATTAGCTTGCTGAATCATAGCCTTTTGGGCTTTGAGCAGGTTGGCACAGGCGCGCTCTATGTCCACACGGTAATGC